CCCTGTAGGACAGAGTGCAACTGCCCCATGGATTTACAAGATTGTAACTCTTTACAGGAGTAGGAAGCCTCATCTCGCTCCTTTAGGGAGGCCGGTGGATTCGGATCGCTGACCTTGAGGTTAGGAGCCCAACTCGTAACCGCTGTGTCCTCAGAGCTAAGGACAAAGGGAGGTTGAATGCAAATGTGGATCTTCGTGTGCGGAAGACAGGCAGAAAGTGGAGAGCAATGACTTTGCATGGCCTCAGTTTCCTCCCACAGTGTGTTAGTCCGGGTTGACGAGAGAAGCAAATCCATAGGCACTCACATGTGTACAAGAAAGAGCCTTATATCAAAGAGTAATTGTATATTAGGAAAACAGCCCAGTCCAGATCAAATCCATAAGTTTGATATTAGCCCATATGTCCAATACCAGTCTATAAATTCCTCTTCAGACTCACACAACACGTGCAATGATACTGAATGCAGGAAGACCACAAGACAGTGGGTGGAAAATCTTGTGGATCCAGTGGTGGTGGAGTTATCTCAGTGCTGGTGTGGGTCTCCATGTGGCTCCTCCAGCTCCAGGTCTCTGGCTCCATCAGTGTAGCTCCATGTGGCTTGTCAACAGGAATGTCTTGCAGGTGGAGTGTGTGTCCTATGTCCAGGGAGGAAGACAGGAGTTCCCAGAATCCTTAGGAGAAGGCCATGCCCACACAGAGCCCTCATTGGCTATGACCTGATTGACAGGCTGGACTCCACCCCTTCGCTCAAGTTGACAGGAGCTTATGTAACTGCCACACACAGTGAAGCTTAGTGAAGGCAAGTCTAACACTCTCTTTGTCCAGCTCAGGGATGAGAGACCGTTCTATGGATTAAAAAGCTTGGTGCTCAGTCCAGTCAGTAAAGCTCAGAGATCGCTTCCCCCTGGGATTCGTCCCCCAGCCTTGGGCGGCCAAGTTCTGGGTAGTTTCATCCGCTTAACCAAGCCCAGTGCCTTTGGATTTGAAACAACAGGGGACTCCTTCCTACCCTGTGGATAAAAAGCAATCTGTGAGGCGCCTTCACCACCTGTCTGTCAAGTTTGCCACACGCTGGAGGCCTGCGTGTCCCCACGAGGCAGGAAGCTACGCCCCCAATATCCCAAATACCAGGGTCAC